TGAAAAACCCCCTTCAACTTTTTTTTTGTCAAAAAATCCCTAAAAGTGCTACTAGTAACATATTTTATAGCGTTACTAATGATGCGATTATGTACTTTTCTTACAAATATGAAAACTTGTCAGGACAATTGTAAAATTTTGATTATATAGTGACACCACTTTCTAGAAATCATGGATCCGTCACTGATTTGTTGTATATAATATCCCAAGGTTTTCTTCTTGTATGGAAGATTCACGTGGAAGATTCTGCAGTCTCTTAAATTCAATTTTGAGGATTTCTCTTGATCACTTTGAGGAATGTAATTCCTTTCTGTTGCTTTCTTTGTGCCCCCATCAATGATGCTATTATCTATAAAGACAATATACTTTCTTTTTCTGACCACCATTTTCTGACAGCCGTTTCATGTGGGGGAATTTGTGGTGTTCTTTGATTTCATGAGTTTAAATCACATGGCTGAAAATGGCACCACCATGATGCATCTGGTTCATGGTTTCTTGGAATTTAACATGTAGAGGTTTAATGTCCATTTAACAGCTGACTGTCAAATTGTTGTCAAATGTTTTGGGAAGATTTCTGTGCTTTGGATCATGCTACATACTTGACCACTCTATTTGATAGAAAAAGGCTTGGATGATGATTTTAAGTTCTTAAATCGTATGCCACCTTTTTTGGTGGAGCTTTATGGTAGGGGGCTTCCTTATCTTTTTTTCACTGAAGCTCTATTTCTGACCATTTATATCTTATTGTAAGACTGACTTACCTTATGATGAATGGATTGCAGCGGCTAGCAGAATTCATTATGGTGCGATTTATGTAACTCCTCGCTTAATTCTCCTTGCCATACATATTACTGCTGAATACTTAGATGACATGAACACTTTGAGACATATCAGTTATGAGAATCGTGTAAAACATGTGTTTAAATGTAAACGATATCCTATAGGGCGTTGTCCAGCTATTTATAAGGTGCGATACGAGCAATTACTGATCTCACACTTTAGTTGGTGCAAGTACAATTTATAAAAAGGCTTCACGGTAAAACAAATAAATTTTCATTTACATCTGAAATTAATATAAGTGTTGTACACCTGACCACTAAAAGTGTAACTTGTTAAAGTGAGCATTGTGCATCTGGCCATGTTGCTTGTCTCCCTTGTTATCTTAGTAGCATATATTTGCTTATTCTTTATTTATACTTCGTATGAATATGATTTACACCATTTTATTCCATACCTTGCAGCAAAAAGATGGCAAGGATTTCCTTTTGTATTGGCCAGCTGCACTTTTCACTGCCGTCCCAAGTCGATCTTTCTTTCCAAGAGGGTTTCTATGGGATGAGGGCTTTCACCAGCTGATCATTTGGTTAGTTATTTGCTGTTGTTATTTATATGTTCATATATTCTGAAAGTCAACTTAGAAAAGCTTTGGCAAAAATCCTGTTCCCATTCCAGTACTATTTTATCGATTTCTTCCGTAAATCTTATGTGGTAAATGTTTAGGCGTTGGGATGTGAAGATATGTATGGATATAGTTGGCCACTGGTTGGATCTGATTAACATAGATGGATGGATTCCTCGGGAACAAATACTAGGAGCTGAAGCTCTCAGGTAATTTACTCCTTATGCTGAAGGCGGCACTGTACTGTTTTTAGATAGTGAAGATTGCGTAACCTAAAGAATTTCATTATGTTTCATTATTTTACAGTAAAGTTCCTGAGGAATATGTTCTACAACATCCCTCTAATGGGAATCCCCCGACTTTATTTCTTCTTTTACGTGGTAAAGTACTTGCATCTACCTCCTTTTTTCATTTAACAGCAGTACAATGAATAATGCATAAACTAACCGCCTGCATTAGTCTGCTGTCTAATATCCTAGACATGATTCAAAACCTTCGCGCTTCAAATTTTAATGAGAAACTCAATTTTTATATAATATTTTGCTACCAAATGTTTAGCTGTCTTCTCTCATATTTTTCCGTGTTCTCTCTGCATTTTTTGTTTGCTGCTTAACCACCAATACATTAAAACTCTTGTAGCCATTTTCCTTAGTTTCTGGACTTCTTATTTTCAAGCCCTTGCATAATCTCCTTATGCACATGAGCAACATTTGAAATTTGAGATCTTTATTAGTTAATATTACATATTTTCTAGATACCTTATTATTTTTCCCTCACTGATTTGCTAATATATAGGAGCAAGCTTGCATGGGCTCTCTCCAGTCTCCATGTAGCTTATATTTAATCCAAAACTTAGCTAAAACTTAATCATAATGTGTCATTGACGACCAGTGTGACATTATAATGTATTATGAAGGAATTGGAAATGTAACGGCTTCCCCCGTTCTTGAATCTTGTATTTTTCAGGCACTTTTCTCTACTTCTTTTAATTATCATCCAAGAGTTAAAATTAGAGTGCTCATGTTGGGATTTTGAATTGAACTGTCACTTTTGCTTAGAACACCTTAAGCCCATAGCTGTTTCTTTTTCTGATTTTATTACAACAATAATATAGAGCTCCACAATACTTTTGGATAATTGAATAACATTGCATTCTTTTCTCTGCCAGTCCCAAGCTAGGATAGAAGACTGTAGCCTAAGTTAGCCAGCAACAAACATAAAATATTATGAGTTCTATGGAAAGAAATCCTAAATGAAATGTTTTTTGGTTGATGGCGTCTTTATGAAAAGAAGTCCCAAGGAGAATGTGGTTTCCACTTTAATGATATAAGTCATGTGAAAGTTTCTTCAAACAATTTCTCTTCCTTGATTCCTTAATTTACTTTTGTTATTACCTGTTGTTTCTTATTGTTCTGTGCAGTAATCAGAGAATCCAGCTTGCTTGTTTGTTGGATCTTTAAAATTTAGATTTGGGCTGTATCTAAGAAACCTTGCATTAGCCTCCTACTTTTCCACTCTTCACTAATTTGATTATATCCTGTAAACCATTAAATCTCCACTATGTTACATCATTTTAGCATTTATATTTTACATATTCTGGTTTTGCATGCTTTACTTGTATATCAGGTCAGTTCCATCCATTATATATCATACCTTTTAATTTGATCAAATTTACATGCATTATGACCAACGCTTTGGCATCTCTAATAAGCTAAAAAGATGCATACACAAACACACCAGCGCGCCGCCACACACACACAGATCACACTTACCCACTAAAGGGCGCCGGGACCGCGGCGTGCTGCGCGCACACACACCACAATTCTACTTTACACACCACCACCCACACACAGTCATAAAAATACTATATAGTTATTCCAGTTACCTACTATATATGTTATATAGTATATATAGATAACACACACACACACACACGCGCTGAGCACACACACACACACACACATACATACATTATATATAACACAGCATTCGTGCGAGCCAACGCGCAAGGGTGCGGCACAGCATACACACACAGGGCTATACAATACACCACACACACACACCACACACATAGTAATATTATATAGTATATAATTAATATATATATATATATAATATATAATATATATATATATATATATATATAGTATTATATATATATATATATATATATATATATAGTATATATATAGTTATATATTATATCTATATCATATATGTAACTATACTACTATATATTGAGAAAAAATGCGTATGCTCACGCCAACCGACCGTGCCGTACCGAAAATAAAACCAGCACAAACAATTTCTAGTGCCGTTGGTAGTGACGACGTGGCTCGATTCCCAACGTTCCCACGTGCATTCAATTGGGCGGGCACCACATTCTAACTTCCTATGTGAATGTAGCTCCCCCCATTCTGAGAGTGGGGAGTGACGGGGTAGGAGGATCAATGATGGCCAGCCTCGGCACTTCCCACCAAGCGTAGCGGCGTCGAGGAGTTGGCCATTCTCTCTCTCTCTTCTCTAAATATCCCACTATATATAATAGGTATCAGTAGAAATAGGGGGGTTACTGTAGAATAATGTATATAAATATTGGGTGGGCTTGTGCTGTGTGTGTAAAAACGCCCAGCAGATGTAAGGACGGCAGAAGCGGGTAAGGACCGGTGGAGGGCCACGTGTAAATATCACACACGACTGGTGGGTATATTTTGTGTATATGTATGCATCTGCGAATATATATGCTTAAAAGTTTATATATAATATACCTACATCTACATATACATTATATACATATTAGATAGGTATATATATAATATGATGTCAAGGTATTATAACTAATATATTATTTAGTATATATACGTATACGATCGGACATTACCATCCACTAGATGCAGGCAATTACATTGTTATTTATGACCTTATAGATAGTAATGCACTGTCATAGATCGGTTTTGGAACCTCCATCTATATGCAAAACTGACTTGTGGGTTGCAGTCCTCGCACCATTGATAGCTGTGTAATGTTTGCTTCCTCTCCATTCTCTGGTATTGTTTCTTTGAGATTTAATTGTGTCACGCCCATGGTTTTAAATATCGGCTGATAATCCGATATTATCACTGAGTTATCAGATTTGGGAGTTTTCCGCTTAGATAAATGGGATTTTTAATCGGTTATCGTTTTTATGAGTTTATCGGCGAGTTATCGGTGATAAATGCACTTATCGGCCGATAAGGTAGACTAAAAATATCGGCTTTATCGGCGTGAGTTTTGAGTTGAATTGTTGGGTAATGGGCCGTTACTTAGTTCTTAAACCCGGTCCGACCTGCTTTTGACAATAAAATGAAGTTTCTAACTTCAAGTTCAGCCCTAATCCTTCGTGAATATCTCTCCCTCTTTGTGCGGCTGTTCTCCGAGCCTCCGAGCCTCTTCGAACTCCATCGAGCTCAAGATCTCTGTTCTCCTCTAACTCCGTTGACCTTGTTGCTTGCCTCCCGGACCTCGAAGCTCACGTACGCTGACGTCGCTCGCCTCCCCGCCTCAAAGCTCACCTCCGTCGACATCGCTCGCCTCCCCGACCTTGAAGCTAACCTTCGCTGACGTTTATATTTCATTAAGCATGGTTAGATTATATTTTTTGGTTATTATATTATATATATACACCATCCAGTATATCACTCTGATAAATACTACTTATCCCTGATATATCCCCGATTTTCGCTATCCGATAAAGATTTTGACCGTCCGATAAATCCTCGATAACCGATATTTAAAACCTTGGTCACGCCCCGAACTAACACAAATATTTATGAAAATAATAATAGATCCAAGGCACGTGACAGTCGACCACAAATCCCCTTGGCTCAGGACTTGCGAAGCCTAATTCTAATATTCCATCAAGCAATATATTCATAACATGGCCCACAAACTTAAAATCTTGCATTCCAAATTACTTGAGTGATACATTATACTGTTTATCATTAATTGTACATCATTAAAGGTACATTTATATCACTCTGAAACTCTAGTTATATAATAGAGGTTGTAGACAAATATATACATTACAAAACTCATCTGATAAGAACCATTCCATTACCAAAATAATAGGTAGAAGATTGCTTTTGACCAACGATCTTGTCCATTTCCTCAATTCCTGCTCGCCTAGGTTGCATTGGTACGGGTATAGGTATGGGTGCGGGTACAGTTACGGGTAACGACAAATCTGTAAAATATAGGGTACGGGAACACGGCTGAATATATATATATATATATATAATATAATATTATATTATATTTTTTATAATTTTTATTATGTAAATGTAGATTATAAATACTAAGGAAAGTGCTAACTATATATAACCCATAATCCTAAGTGAAAACAAGCTCCTAAATATAAACCAACTCCTAATTAAATTAGACCAAGTTTTTAAAAAATTATCAATAAAATCTGTATGATGAACAGTAACCAGAAAACCCTAAAAATCCCTAATCTAGAAGCTTACTGGATAAAATGGGGGGAAGAAGATTCATAAAACAAAAAGGAAAAAGAACTCAAAAACCCCAAGAAGAATTCATAAAAATCCAAAAATAGAATTTTGAAACCCAAAAAAGCCCTAAATTAGTCAAAATTCACAAAAGCTACGTACCTTTGTTCGTTGGAGATCTTGCTATCCTCGAAAGACCGACGAACATCTATGGAGGACGCAGGAATTCCTTGCTTCGGTTAGGGTCTCTTGATGTGGAAAATGAGAGAATGAAATGGAATTTGAGGTATCGCTTTTCATAAAGACAGAATTAATAGCGGTTTGGGGTTATTGGGTCCCAAAAACAGACCCAATTAGCCAAAGCAGATTTTTTTGAGTCGGAAAAACTCCCATGTGTGGTGATTGGAATTCTTCCGTGTCCCTATAGTTTGGATGCGGATCCGCACTCGATACGTACCCGACATGGATACAGAATCAAATTTCTCGTGTCGGGGTATCATAGCTGCTCGCTTTAGTCTCATCACGCTCAGCTGAAATGTTATTTATATTTAGGGTGAGCTTTTCCACATGCTCAGTAAGGGGTACATACTCATAATTTATGTTAGCAAAACCATACATATCATAAAATTCGAAACTTGATTTGAAATGGCATGTTTGTAACTTTTGTCAAAGTGAGGAAATATGCATAGAAATTAAGCAATGTCACACGCTATGTTGACGACTAGACTACCTACCACGACTACAACGGCGATCTGTCTGGTCCGGATTGCCTACAACGGCGATCTGCATGTCATAACACCCTATTCCCTTAATAGGCCTGTGACTTAATTCCTTGGTGTACACCATTGGGCAACTAACAACACAACATAAAATCTCAACATGACTCAATGTCATTAACCCAAATCTCTATTCATGTATAGCAAACCGTGAAAAAATCATTGTCTAATATGAAAATATCAACAAGAATTGATGCAATGCTACCATGATTATAACATAACTTAAAGAATAGTATTAATACAAAATTCATGCTTGTATGACCATGAAAGATGCAATTCTCATGTAAAAGAAAATGAGGATAACATAAATTAAAGAATATATCCCCACTTACCAATTTTCCGCAAGATCCAAGGCCCTGTGTAGTCCTTCAATAGTCACCTATAACTCCTATTTTCTTTCTATGTATCCCTCTTTTTTCCTCTTCCCTGCAGCTCTTCTTTCTGCCCTTTCTTCTTTTTATTCTTTTTCCCCCTCCTCTCTAGATGCTCCTGCTCATGCTCTTGATTCTTATCTCTCTCTCTCTCTCTCCCCCTCTCTCTCTCTCCCTCTCTCTCTCTCTCTCTTGTAGGCTAATGAAATTCCCACCTAATGCTTGTTAGACGCATGAGTCATCTCACTTTCTCATATCATCAAGACACGTGTCAAAAGACTTCACACAAAACTCCCTCTTAAGTTTTATATTTTCATATCAATGCAGAAATATCCATTTTCAAATGTTTATTGCGAAACACACACATTTTTTATTTTATTTTAAATAAGCTAATTAATATAAACAAGAAGATAATTATGGATTAGATATTACAGGTTGGGTCCTTGAGGGAGATGATTAGTGTGTACTTGATATGTGCTGAGAGCCAATTTGGCGCGGAATCAAGAGGACAGATGGAGGTCCAACTTTATATTTATGTCCTGACTTCAATCAATTTTCTCATTATATTAAGTACTATTTCAATATAAGATAAATTTTAACAGATTCCTACATTGTATTAAAAATAAATAAATAAGTAATTCTGCCTTCTAATTGATAGGAACCACTTTTGCAGCCATGTGGCTCTTTAACCTCTTTAAACTATTGATATAATTGCCAAAGATGCCCATCAGTGGGGACACAAACATATACCATGTCGACTTTTCATCTATCAGTCCCTATGCTTGCTTTACGATTTCCCATGTTTGCACCCACTGCCATTCTTCTATGAAATTCAGACAGGGGTTTTTGGGGTGGGGGAGGGTGGTGGTGGGGAACTTGAATTATGCACTGCAATTTATATTTTTCTCCGATATTATTTATCCTCTGTATTTAATGATTACTGTGAATAAGTTGTCTTAAAGTCATTTATGTGATCTTATTTCGATGTTACAGAGAATTTTCTTTGCATTGATCACCTTATTTTTGTTAGAGCATCATCCAATTTGATCATGAAAATTTGCTTCATGCAGACCTGATTAGCAACACAAGAATGAAAAGCTTTTCTGAAAAAGAAAATGATGAGATCAATGTTTTCCTCAGTAGAGCTTACATTCGTCTTGGTGCATGGTTTAACTGGTTCAATACAACACAATTAGGTAACTTGCGTTTTGATAAACATTTTTCATTTATACCCTTGTACAATCGATACGCAAGTCTCTTTTGAACCAGCGCCTTATATATATTCTCTACAACTTGTTGAAATTCAAATGGGAGAAAGCAATTATGTTGTATTTTTAGTGGTTGGTTTCACATATGAATATTTTGACATTATTTTGATAAACTTTCTATAGTTACCGGGTAGTGGCAAATGGTACTCCCATAATTTTAGAAAGATTAATAATGATATATGTTTAGAGTAGTGATAACTGCACTCCAATTTTTACTCTAGTTTCCACTACTCTTGAGGTGTCTTTGAGTTGGTGCTGCTTAGTTTATTGGAAACAATGAAAGTTGCCAAAAATTCCTCAATTCTAGAAAAAAATTCTCTTCTATTTTTTCCCTTTTCTGTTCCTAGAATTAATCTACTGCAGCAACATTGTTTATCCATTTTCCTTCATCATATTGCTCAATATTGAGCTGAGGTGAAGAAGAAGGTATTGACAATGACAAAGATTTGTTTCCCAATGGAAGAACTTACCAATTAATAAGTAAGAAGCTTGCAGAGTAGTTTGGAGCAACCAAGAAATTCAAACCAAAAAGATCAAGTTTGATTTTCGCTCAAGTAAATAGAACCAAAATTAAACCAAAATAATCACATTAGGATTTGCTATAGATGAGTTTCAGGGAGACAAATAGGTGTTGAAGAGAGAGGAAATGTGGACAATGAAGTGCTGCTTTTGTTCAAGTGGTTAAAACCAAAGTTAAATCAAAATAATATCATAATGATTTACTGTAGATGGATTTTAGGGAGAAAATTAGGTATGAAGGAGGAAGAAAAGGTAGAATATGAAAGGACTTTTTAAGAATAGGAATATGGGTATCTTTGGTACCAAGGACCATCTTTGGCCCTTGGTAGTGAGATGGCTCATTGTCATATATACATTTAGAGGGGGACCATTTTCACGTGGGTTAGAGGGGACTATTTTCAGGTGGGGATACACATCAGCAATGCCACATCAATGTCACGTCATCTTAGTGTAGAAATTGTAGTTTGGGAGAGATGAGCATTAATCAGTTCAAACCGATTAAACCGATGGAACTGACCAAAATTTTGTCAATTTGGTTCGGCTTTGAAATATGTTTTAGTCGGTTCAGTTTAAGAAAATTTCAACCCAAACAAACCGAACCGGCCGCTCTCTCAATTGTCTAACAAATACTCTTTTTTTATTTTCAATAGTCCACAATTTTTTTTTCTTTTTTCCTTAAAGTATTTATTATTTTAATCAAATTTTATTTTTCTTTTATTGATAATCCTTTAATCCATGCTTTTTTAACCAATTTCTTGATGTGCATCATTCTTTTGCATCAAGATATGTTTTTTCTTAAGTAACTTAAGCCATGTTCAAATTGACCAAACTAGGTGAATCTAAATTATAGAAGTACTAATTTAGTTAAGAAAATTAATAGATTTTTATGACTTCCATTTTGGCTTGAACAAAATGAGCAAGTCTTATTAATCACGGGCCTCTACATAAGCAAGAGCAGTCTTATTTATGATAATATCTGTGATCATCATCATCACTATTAACAATATTAAGTTTGGTGTTGACTCAAAGATAGTTACAGAGTTTATGTCATCTGATGTATATACTAGATCCTCAGTTCATTTATCCTTTCATAATTGGGAATTTTCAATCATCATATCCTTGAAACTGTATGTATGTTGCTATTGTTTTTTGCGATGCATATTTGTAGTGAGATTATGAACTAATTATCTGATGAGTTTGTTTCATCTCATGGTTTGATTCGCAGGGAAGGACACAAGCAACTTCTACTGGCATGGTAGAGATGAGAAGACTACTAAGGAGCTAAATCCAAAGGTTTTTTTACATCATCCATTTTGTTATATCGATTTTCGTTCTTATCTATAAACAACTACAGTCCCTAGCCCACCTGCTCTGTTTGCAAGGGAGAGGTTGCTGATGCCTAATAGTTTGCATCAAGCGCTGATGCATTCCGTTTGTTCTTCCCTTGTAATTGTGTACTGTTCTAGGCTTCTAGCCATGCATATTTTCTGTTGCCAAGCAAAGAAGTCATGATGGTGACTAGATGATGCTGTGCATAAAGAACCCAAAAACTTCTATAAGAATCTACAGCTTGTCTCAACTGATGCAAAAGATTTTCATACTAACCAAATGAAAAAGATGAAGTACAAGGGGATGTAACTTCCTGAGCATAGACTTCATATCCAAGCATGCTTATCTATGTAGTTCTTCTACAATTTTGCCCTAAGAAATGCTAGCTAAGGTTCATTTATTATTTTATTGGAATGATTAGATAGCTAATATCATTTACGTCTCTCACGTATTGACTTAGCAGAAGACATTGCTAAAAATTCTTTGATTTCATTATTTGGTATCATTCAGTCGCTAAAAGTTTATACGATTTCTTCCTGAGAAGGTCTAATAAACATTCTCCCTCACTTCCTCTCTGTGTATGCTTGTGGGTTATTTATTTATTTATTTTTTGGGCCGTTGGAGTAGGCTGCGCGCAGTGGGGGGTGGGGGTGCTCTAGAAGTCAGTATTATATTGACTCCTCAGCTACAAAAGCTTAGGAACTAAGTATATTCTCGTGTACAGCGAAAGTGCGCCATCCCCGAGCGATTAAAAGTAAGTCATTGTCATGTAATACATAAACAGACATCAATATTGTCTATCATACCTAACAATCAAACTTCAAATACATAACATGAGAAGTTAAGTCCCCTGTATTGCCAATCATTTTTTACATCTTTTTGGTACAGAAAACTTTCCTTGCTTTTCTAATATGTAGTTACAAATGTTCCTACTTCGGTAGGCATTCTTCAGGGAGTCTATCATAGGCGGTGATGTAATTTTTTATTGATTTTAATGCAATCATCTATTCAACAGACACTGACATCTGGACTGGATGATTATCCTCGTGCATCCCATCCAAATGATGATGAACGCCACTTGGACTTAAGGTGCTGGATGCTTCTTGCTGCAAATTGCATGCGGTCAATTGGAGAGCTGTTTGAAACAAAAACTAGTTTAGAAAAGGTTACACTCTTGAGTTGTATTTCAAATTGAGTATTAATGGGAACACTGTGTTACTATTCTATTAAATCTCTTGAAATCTTTCTAGGATTATCATGGGATGGCTGAAAAACTGTCGAACTTTGAAATTCTCAATAAGGTATGCCTCAAGGTTTATTATTTCTCAGCATTATGCTATTTTATTGTCTTGTATCATAATTCTTCGGAGGTAGCTGTCAGCGTACTCGTAGCTTTTAAATATATTTAGGCCTTTTGTTTCTAAAATGTTGGTTTCGTTGTAGTTTAAAAATGATAAAACTTACAGTGACAGATTCTGAGACAAGTTGAACTGGGATTATTAGTTTCTATATCTCAATATTTTTTCCTCAGTAGCTTTTTGTTTCTAAAATGTGGGTTTCGTTGTACTTTGAAAATGATAAAACTTAGAAGTGACGGATTGTGAGACAAGTTGACACTGGGATTATTAGTTTCTATATCTAAATATGTTTTCCTCTTCTTTGAACTAATAAGCGGAAGTTTGATTCTAGGTATTGACTTCTAGCGATTGTGTCTTCTTGAAGGGGATGATATCGATAATCATTGTGTTAATTTCTGATAGTTTGATTGTGCATCATATGGTAAATTGATTAAGAGCAAGGTTTTAAATAACGGTTATCGGGGATTTATTGGACGGTCAAAATCCATATCGGATAGCGGATATTGGGGAAAAGTAGTATTTATCGGAGTGACATATCAGATGCTGTATGTACATAATATAATATCTTAAAATGTAATCTAACCGTACTTAATGAAATATAAACATACCAAATGTAAATAAACAAGTTTAGGATCACTAACCAATTGTAAAAACTTGCTTCTCGAATACGTGTCTGTTGCCCCAAATCAAACCCAAACCAAACAAAATTTAGCCGATAATTCCGATTTTAGACCAATAAAATCGGCCGATATCTCACTTCATCGTTGCATTTTCTCCGATAAACATCCAAAAACGATAACCGATTTAAAATTGAACTTATCATAGCGGAAGGGGTTCAAATCGGACAACTCAGTGATAAATCGATATTATCAGCCGATATTTAAAACCTTGATTAAGAGGATTGGAAATGTGTTGGTTTTAAATAATTTTTTTAGTTGAAAATGTTATCTATAACCTGCCAGCTATGCAGATTAAGTGGGTGAGGGAAGGATAAACCTTAGAAAAGTTCCTAAGTTTAGAGAAGGCAAGTGTGGGCAAGTGTCCATGCTTGGCTACATCGCATGTGTCGCTTCTCCTTATTTCGCTTTTGTTTACATACTAAACAGTTAGTCATTTTGTAAGTCTTAACAAAAGTGACCTATCTTCTAAATGCATAATTCTTAATCTGCATTGTAAAAGCTTTGAATACCATATGTTTTTCAATGCTTAGAGAAAAATGAACGATATGGATCGTTAACAGGGGTGATGGGCCTGATGGCCATGTAGCTAGGTAGTTTGAGACTTCAAGTTTGCTCCTGTGGAGACACAAACATGTGCATCAAGATGAATGGTCCGGACACCCATTGGGTTTAACCACTCCCACGCGGCCACACCTATGTAGTTTGAAACAAAATCAGGAAATTTTAAACATTGCATGATACTGAAACTTACCATGTTGTAAGTTGATTAATAGTGTTCGCATTTGCGTTAGAAAGATCAGCGAATTCAGTCACAATCAAGTGTAAACTTACATACATGAACAGGAGCTTTAATCTATGGATAAATGACTGCAAGTTGCAACAGACTGCATAATATCACTAGTCGCTTAAAAGTGTAACATGCTCTGCTTGTCCTTTTCTGAAGTTAACATGCTGTCACTTATATTTGAATTAATTATCATTAAAATTTTCATATATCAAATTTTATCTGTGGCTTCCAGTTATAGATATTCTATGAAAGTCGAGTTAACTTCACAATAAAGACTTACAGTTTGAAGAAACAATATGACTTTTTGTTGATATTCTATTGTTAATTTTTATTGTTTCATCAAGTAGGAGATGCTACATTAAAAGGTTTTGACATCATATTGACATCATAACCCTTGCAGCTGCATTAGTAATATATTTGTATAATTGAAGCTTTCTACTTATTTGGCAGATGCACCTAGATGATGTTTCTGGAGCCTATTTTGATTTTGGAAATCACACTGGAAGGTAAACTACGAACACTCTTTCTTCTTGAAATCAATGCATCATATAGTCAACTTTGACAAGAAAATATAGTTACATTTCACATTAAGTTGTAGGTTCGTTTGAGATGGCATGAAATAAGAGATGGGGACATTGTAAAACGGGAGCTTGTTCGGGAGACATTACAGAAGCCTCAGCTGTCGCTAGTTCCCCATGTTGGCTATGTCAGTCTTTTCCCATTCATGATGGGGATCATTCCTCCTGTAAGTAGTAGGCTGTTCCTGTAAGGCTGTGCTAGTCAAAGTTATTCAAGTTCTACAGATTTGTTGTTTACTATAATGTATGATCGAGCAATAGGTTTAAAATTTTACTACAATTTTCTTCTCCAGAATTCGTGGGTTCTTGAAAAACAGTTGGAGATTATATCAAATCGGTCAACATTATGGACAGATTATGGACTCCGTTCGCTTTCTAAAACAAGGTTCTGTTAGTAGTTTCTGTTACATTATACAATAAACATTTGAGAACATTTTATATGCTTCGTTGAAGATTATCTATAGATTGTCATCTAACATGTCCTTTAAATTAAGCCATGTTAAGAAAAAAGTTTCTCCAGTTCTAAATATATTTCAATCTAGATGGTAGTAGGATCCAATAATTTTAAGGGTATACCTTTAAGGTAATCTCAACAAACTGGGGTCATTGTTGAATGGTATATTTGATTACTCCGCTTGATCTAATGAATAATGTGCTGCACTAATTTGAGTATATACAGTTCAAATTCTTTGATTTCAGGAATGAACTGTGGTTTAGCTACATAGTTTAATTTTTCATGAGCTAACTACTGACCTCACGCAATCTGTTATTCGTCTTGCTTCTCCAATGGATTTTTGAGACAAAGCGATCTGTGTGTTCATGAGAAGTGTATTTAGAATTTGGTCCTTTGCGAGAGAAATATTACATAGAAAAGGGCTACTAAAGGTATGGAGAAAACACATAGAGGAAGCATTTTTTATCTGTTCAGTTTACTTGTGGTAATGTCTGTAAGTTGTTAAGTAGGCTCTGGGGGAAAGTGATAATTTGTCAGAGCATAGAAGATGGAGGAGAGGCAAGCAAGATTATTGATGAAACTTGCTGGACTGTGGGAATATTTGGGGAAGCTTGTCGCATCGATAGTTTAATCAGCACGAATAACTAGCTGAATTTATATTGATGGATTTAAGTAGTTTGTTATGGTTTTCTAGTTATTATTACAAAAGTCCCCATGAAACAGTGTGGAGTAGTAAAGGCCAAGATGTATAGACTTTGACATACTTTAATCGTGGATATGAAACATTTCTACGTTGATTCCGGAGGTCATTGTCTAAGCTTTGGGCATTCTGGTTGCAAGTAAAAGCTCATTTCAGGACCTTAACAAGTATCTGAAGAATTTTCACCAAACACCTCTTTTACCATATCCATTACCTGTCATACCACTGTAATCACTATTCTTTATTGTTTCTGCCATCATCCAATCTCCCTTTGCAGAATTTTCTTCATAGTTAAATCTCTTTAAGCACCTATTTAACATGCATGTGCTTTTAAATTTTTTTACTACACTTAAACGAAAATTTAACTCTTATATGAAGAATTCCACCAATATCTAGTGGCTGATTCTGAAGCCTCTGGTATGTAGAATGTTTCCTCCTATAAATATGTACCAAATTTACTATTCTTTGTGTGTCTAACACATATTTTTGTCAATGTGTAAACAAGTGGACTAAATTTGCAAATCTTCAATGTTGATCACCTGCAAATAAGATCCAGAGCTTTGTCTTCTTCATGTATCCTAAAACACAACTTACATATCCAAATTTAGGTCAAACGTTGCCCAAGTCTTTTGAGCATGAAACAGCCTCAAACAAATCCTGTCACCATCTTGCACTCATGTTTGAACCTAAGAAAGCCATTGATTTTATGCATGTTAAGATGCTTTCTTGTGGCAGAATGTAGATAAATCAAACTTCAATGTTGTGATTAGTAAAATCTGGTGCAAGGTGGCAAGACTGGCCTTAGGCTTTAGCAGGCTTTAGGGAGATCTAGTTGTAAAAAATGGAAAACATAAAAATGTTAATAAAAATAGTAAAACGGGAAATTAGAAATTAAGGTACATAATAAAGAGAGTAAATAAGCAATTGATGCTAAAATGCTAATGTCTATGACAAACATCAGCAATAAAATAAACTTTCAAATCTTGAAGAGAGGGTGGAAGTGTGCCAAAAGAAGCGTAGCAAAGTGGGGGCTTTAGTGGGTAGTACTGGTGTTTAATTCCTTCACTATGGATGTGGAGCACACAGATCACATTGCTGAATCCCCTCTTAAATCCCTACTTCACTATACAGTATTTCACAAGTAAAAATAATGCATTCATGTTGGTAGTAGTGGTGTTTTCATTCACTGTGGATATGGGCAATACATAGTTGCATCATTGCGTTGCAAATACTCTGAACCAGCCTTGAGGTGGAACCAATGAAATTTTTCTTGACCCTTTCTATTTATAAGGCACCTGTTCCCACTATTTCTTATGCGTTTCATATGGATGTGCAGTTGTGAATTATCATCTATAATTGATATCTTCAGTTGTCTTCTTTATCAAGCAATGTTACCCACCTTCTTACTCTATGCACTCTTTTTCTCTGGAATAGCTCTATATACATGAAACGTAACACGGAGCATGACCCACCTTATTGGAGAGGCTCCATCTGGATTAATATGAATTACTTGATTCTGTCAGCTCTTCATCATTATTCTCAAGGTAGCAAAGTTCTAAAATTGTACTTTATGATACAAAGATTCATAATGTTCTAATGACATATTACTGCTCAGAGAATGGTCCGTACAGAGACAGGGCATATCTATTGTACAGAGATCTTAGGTCAAAATTGATCAGGTACTGTTATGCAAACTTCTCATAGGTTCCGAATATTTTATCTGATGGTCTTAAATTGTTGCTTGCACTTTCTAACAGAAATATCGTGCGCAATTACTATGAAACTGGGTTTTTGTGGGAACAGTATGACCAGAAGAACAGGGGAAAGGGTAAAGGTGCACGCCCTTTTACCGGTTGGACTTCTCTTGTTCTTTTAATTATGGCAGAAGCTTATCCAAGCCTATAGGTAAGTTTGATGCCAATTTATGAGATTTTGCAAGAATGAACAAAAAGAAGTGGCAGAGGCTTATACAAGCCTGTGGTGAATGCTCTGTTATATAGTAGCACGCTTGATCCACACAAAATTGCATCTGGGATCTGACATTGGATTTTAAGTTCATGTAAACTTGTACCAAAAAAAACATAAGCGCATCCATCGAGGCTTTGTAACATATTGTTGAGCAATCCCATGTAATAGTTGATCATGTGTAGGTGGAGGTGATTTTCTTATATACATTCGGTTACTTGTATACATTTAAAGAGTTCTTTATCAAAAGTGAAATTGGTGTGGACGTGATTTTCTTTTATGTAGACAAATAACTACTGCAGCAAGAATACTTTTCAATTTATTGGAAATTTGTCTAATTTTGGAGTGGCTGGGTCGAGGTGGTTAGGTAAGGTCTAAAAGAATTTCGAAACCATACGCGTATGCAGCATAAAGAATTGCGTCACAAATGCCAGAGTTAGGCCCTTGAATCTGGAATCAGTTTGATTTGTTATCTGTCTTGCTACTTTGACTCTGTTTTTTTTTCAAAATTTATTTTTTCTTTTCTTTTATCAATTCCGAGCCATTGGCATTTACTATTGTTCAGACTTCAGTAGTTATTTTATATCTCGTGGGTGCCTTCTATAGGAAAAAACTCTTAGTTATTGCATCTAATACCAATGTTATAGAAGGGGTTAGGCGGACTAGACATTTGAGCTAGCGCCTAGGCATACGCCTGGATGTTTAGATATTTTTAAAATTATTTAAAATTATTTAATTATAATAATTGATAAAAATATGTATTAAATTTGTATAAATTTAGAAAAAAGAAATAGATAGCAATCTTAGATCAATAATAAATTATGCATACTTAAATGCTAAATAGCAAAAATAATAAACTAACAAGATTATAGAAAGCGCTATGAGGCCTAGGCATAGGACCTGTAGCCAAGAGGCTAGAAGATCTTTTTTTTTTAATTAGTAATTGATAGTAAATATTAATGGAATAGAAAACTTAGGTGCCAGACGGGTGTCTAGGCGGATTTCTTTTTTTATTTTAAGTGGTGGTTGAGAAAGTTTTGTTGAGGGTCGGAGGAGGTAGTAGATGTGTTCATATTTGGAGGTTAAAGGAGTTTGAAAGAGGTTGGAGGACGTGGAGACTGCAACACAGAAAATCATGATCAAGACATAAATGATATAGTCTACGTAAGCAGAGAATGCCTTCCTAAACACTCCCAAAATTTAGATGGGCAGCGTAGGTACCGCCTAAGCCTAGGTGTACGCCTAGACGTACTAGGCGGAGGTTTTTTAAAACAGTGTCTAATACAAGCTTCAGTAGTAAAGAATGAATTTGGATTGCTGGAGCGTGGGGTCTTGTGAGGTCTCAAGTTCAAGGTTTGTTTGCCACAATAGAGATTTGGGCAAAAGAGAGATACTATAATACTCTCCAAATTGACGCCGCATTATGCTAAAGCTCAATGTAAAAGTTACAGGTTACCTTCTGGTAATTTCATGCAATGAACGGAAATTTACACATTTAAAGGAGACACTACTAGTTCCTTGAAATAACTAGCACTGACAAATTAAAGGAGCCAATACTTGAACAATGATACATCTGAACGATACGATGGTGCGGTATTTGTCATGTCCAAGCGAACGCAAGAGTTGAGCACAAATTACTTCAAACTTTGACATCTACTTTAGGTGCAGTATTTGTGACGTCCAAATGAATGCAAGGGCTGAGCACAATTTCCTTCAAAATTCGACATCGAACTTTTCGATCGTAACTAGCAGACAATCTCTCACCTGAAAATTACACAAAGTACTTTTACCACACTTTCTTTCGAAACCAAAATCCCTACTGAGTACTGACTCTCCAAAACATCTCTAGCTACTTGTAACTGGCTTACTGGTTGAGGGAGAAAGGGTGTGACCGAAATGTGCACGGGGTATTCAAAACATTCGAAACTCTATTCAGGGTTCTGAATGTTAATTCAATCTTGCTTGTAGCAGTTCACATCAGTTTTGTTATTAGATTCCAAGAGTTGTATGTGTCTGTAACCTCTTGAACGTTGGCCTTTCAACCCCATCCTCCGTCATGTCTGTACTTTCAGACATGTATTTATTTCCTTGTCTATGATGTCCTTCCTTACATATCCTAAACAAGCTAGAAATACTAGTAAACCCATTGTGAATCTTATCGCGTCAACAATAATATCTTGTAATCTTACCTCTCTCCCTCGTTTGTCGGCGCTTCCTCTTAAACCTCATCATGCTTCCACCGGAAATGAAGTAAAAATGCAAAAGAAAATATTAGCTACACATGTCATGAAATATTCAGATAATCAAAATAAATAAATAATAGGAATACGATCGCTGGTCTGTGGGGAGCAATTGTGTAAACACTGCCCTACAAAAACAAACGCTTGCCCTTGCAGGCTTCAACGGTGTCCGTCTCCTAGTGGCCCCCAACATGTGAGGATATGGTACTCCTCAAGCATCTTGCTCGGATGATTGTTGCTCGAAGAAAATTAAAAAAATATAAAGTGCAAGATATATCAATATCTGGAAATTTTGAGAGAGGTCTTAATGGACTTGAAGCCCCAGACAGATCCTTCGTTAAGTGGTCTGCAAGGTTTTACTCTAACTTTGCGAAGTCGAGAGTCACAAATTTGCCTATTAAAGTCTTAATGGACTTGAATCTGATCTGAAGATGTCTATTCAGCTTCTTGTCGACAATATCTTGTTTCAATAATTCATTTGTGGATCTAGGGTCAGTGTGAACTGGTGTAGAAGGAACTAGTTTAGTAGAAATAGGAAGTTCAGAAAAAAGGTTCTTCAGCCACTCAACTTCAGAACATGTAGTGTTCAAAGCTATAACCTCGTCCTCCATGGTGGTTTTAGCAATTACAATTTGCTTACGAGATCTCTACGATATGACTGCACCACCAAGCATGAATAGAAACCCTACAGTTAAAGTGACATTGTTGGAATCTGTAACCTAGTATTAGCATCACTATACCCTTCAATAACATATGGGTATTCAGCGTAGTCAAGCAATAATCTAAGGTGTCTCTTAGGTATTGGACAACTCTTTCTTACGTTGGTCAATATTCTTTACTAGGATTACTAGTATATCTGCTAAGTCTTCCTACTGGGCAATATCAAGTTTTGTTTTATTGGACACATAAAGAAGAGATCGAATAAGTTGAGAGTATATATACTGAGGCACATACTCACCTTCAATCCCCTTCAGGGCAACCGAAGAGTCATAAGGTGTAACATGTTGGCTTTTGAAGTAGTCAAATTTACGAAGCATTTTCTCAATGCTATGTGAGAGGCTCCACGAAATACCTCTAAAGAATCTAGATATTTTCCTTCCTTAAATCATATCAACTTATCCAAGATCCTTCATATCAAAGTTTTAGGAAATGTTACTCTTTAACTTTTTTCACTTTCTTCAAGAGAGCTTCCAAATATAAGAATATCACCTACATACAAGTAGAGAATGACACAGATATTATGGATAGGGGTGTCCATTCGGGCCCAAGGGCCCGGGCTAGGTCTGGTGTCTGGCTCGAGCCCAACCGATAAATATATATTATATATGTATTTATTACATACTTACATTATGTTTATTTAAATACAGTTATATAGTTTACTTTTATATATACTAGATGCAATATACTTATATATAAGTATAATTATGCACTTATATAACTGTAATTCTATAATATACGCATATAAGTATACTTACAACTACATTATATATATTTATATTCTTATATCTTAGTATCTATACCATACTAAGAGTATATATATATATATATATATATACAACTATATATATACTTGTAAGTATACAAGTATATTATATTATATACTTATATGTATATACACTCTTTGCATGATATAGATACTAAGATATAAATATATAAATATATAGAATGTAGTTATAAATATACTGTATATTATAGAATTACAATTATATAAATATATATAAGTACATTAGTATAATTATATATAAGTATATTGCATCTAATATATATAAAAGTAAATCATATAAGTAACGGGTATAAATTATATATAAGTATATTGCATCTAGTATATATAAAAGTATATCATATAAGTAATGTGTATAACTGTACTTAAATAAGCATAATGTAAGTATGTAACAAATACATATATAGCTACATAATACATATTTATAAATAAGAATTATATACTTATGTGATTCTCTCTCTCTCTCTCTCTCTCTCTCTCTCTCTCAAGTTATGACTTATAAGTGTGTGTATATATATAGCTATATAATAATATGTAAGTATATACTAATTAGGGGTGCTAAACCGTATCCGTATCCGAGGAAATATCCGTAACCATATCCGTTAGGATACAGATATGGTTACTCAAATCTATAACCGATAGGATGTGGTTACGGATATGGTTTTGTAGTGAAATATCCGTATCCGTATCCAAAATATCCAAATACATATTAGTCATACTCTTACGATAGTTTCGATTCTTAGATTATGGATTTGTGATTAATTTTGATGATCAGGATGTCTAATCTTAACTTTTCAATTATAATGAACATATTAACGAACTCTTTTGTATCACATGAACTATGTTTTTCTCCATACTATCTAGTTTTCTCATATCCGTTTTGTATCCGCATGCATATCCGCTCATATATCCGCATGTATATCCGTAACCGTATCCGATTTTAGCGGATATGGTTATGAATTTTCCTTACCGAGGTATATCTGTATCCGTATCCGTATCCGAGATGGGTAAGCGGATATGGATATGGTAAGCATCATATCCGAGCCGTATCCGGACCGAGTGCACCCCTAATACTAACACATACATATATAAATATAATAAGATTAATCTAATTTTTAGAAAATTTTAAGCAAAAAATATAAAAAATAAAAACAAAAAAATCCGAGCCAGCCCGGAGCCTGGCCCCATTTGGTCTGGACCTAACCCGGGCCAGGCCTAGGCACCCCGGGTCTAAGACCGACCTCACTGAGCTGACTCGAATGGACATATCTAATTATGGATCATTTTTTAGTATACACACTTGTCAAATTCATTAATCTCAAATCCATAATCCATAATTACTTTGCTGAATTTATGATGACATTGTTTTGGTACTTGTTTCAATCCATATAAGGGTTTCACCAATTTGTAGACTTTCTTCTCTTGTTCTTTGGTTATGAACCCTTCAAGTTGGTACATGTAGATCTCTTCTTTGAGATTCCCATTTAGAAAGGAAGTCATGACATCCATCTAATATATGACCATCTTATGAACA